AAAATATTTTAATTTTTGACCCAATTTAGCCATATTTTGACTTTGTTTATCTACTAAAGAAATAAGACCGTTTTTTACTGAGTTTGGTGATATTTTGACTTATCTTTGAGAAAATTTGTGGAAATAATTGATTGAAAATCTTGAAAAAGACAAAAATGGCTTCAAAGGTTGAAAAAGGTAAAAATATTTTGACYGAATATTGTGTTTTTCGACTTATTTTTGACTAAAATTTGGGCAAAAAAACACGTAGACGTGTTTATATAAAGATCCAAATTGACCAAAATAGACTAAAAATTTTGTTATAATTTCATAATTTTTAGTCAGTTTAAACGAAATTGACAAAAAAAAGGTTTTATCTCAAAAAAGACTAAAGCAACATCATTTTTGACATAATTTGGTAAATTTTTACCAGAATTTTGTAAAATAATTGTTTTTCTAGCTGAAAAAATATGGTAAAAACATTTGAAAAAGCAAAAATAAAGTAATTTCTGGCTCAATTTACCGTTTTTTTGAATCTGTTTTGTATAATCTCAAACCAATAAAAGAATTTTTTAATTATTTTGGTGGTTTTTTGATTTTTTTACCGAAATAATTGATTTTTTTTATTGAAAAAAAAAATCAAAAAATTGGTGAAACTTTTGGTTTAATAAAAATTATATATTTTTTAGTGTGTTGGACAGTCTTGGTACCTAGCTGTGGACACCCAAATGTACTTTCTTTCCCCTCTAATTTTAATCCCTTTAGTTCGATGGCCCAAAAAAACCCTAACAGCAATTGCTGTTTTCGTGGTACTAAACTGCAGTTACGTTTTTGAAATCACATGGAAAAACCATCTCGGAACAACACTATTCGAGTCAGTTTCAAACTTGCAAAATTCCAAAAATAATGAAATTTTTTCAGTCAAGAAGATCAACACTATGAGATGCTTTACAGCCCGACACACGTGCGAGGAGTCCCTTATCTAATCGGTATGGCGTGCGGATATTTCGTCTTCAAAATCAAGACCAAGAGTTTAAAATTATCAAAAGTAAAAAAAAATACGAAAAAAAAAATTTTGAGTGTTTTTTTCAGACTAAAATTGTGATTTCGTGGATTTTGACATTAGGCACACTTGTGGGAATTGTCATCGTTCATTATCCAATGACTCAAACTGATAAACACACCGATCTTTTCGAAACTTCTTTTTTCAATTCTTTACACCGAGTTATTTGGTCAATTGCATTGTGTGTTTTAATCATACTTTGTATCAACGGTTACGGAGGCTTAATTAACTCCTTTCTCTCGAATAAAATCTTCACGGTTTTGATTCGACTAAATTACAACATTTACCTCCTTCATATGGCGCTGCTAACCATTATGACAGCCCAAAAACGGACTCCGGGCTTTTTTTCAGACTTATTTTGCGTAAGGATTCACCCAAGTGTGATAATTGACACTTTCATTGTGATTTCAGTTTCACGAATTTTGGGGGACTTACATGTTTAGTGTAGCGGCCGCCATTTTGTGGACTCTTGCCTTCGAATCGCCCATTTTGATCATTGAAAAACTCATTTTTGCACCAAGTAAGTGTTTTGGGGCGAAATTAAAAACCTGAAACGTGTTTTTCAGAAAAAAACGCACCTTGTGCCCCGCCAGTTAAGCAACAAGTGGTAGACATCGAAAATGAAGCACAAAAATTGTAATTCATTGAGTTATTTACCCCTCAAGTTATGCGACTAACAATACAGCGTAGTTTAATGTGTTGCATGTTTTAGCCATTTTTGAGTATTTTTTAGCTGAAAATGGAATTATTTTACAACTCTTTTATTGTTTTGGTGACGTAAATGTTGTGTTTAATCGTGTATGAAACAAATAAATAAAACGGCTAATTTTTTTATGACTGTTGTATAATGTGTTGCCTGGATTTGGGCGCCATTGTCTATTTCCTGATTACTCAATATTATTTCATAAATTACAGCTTTTTGCACATTTTTCAGTCAAAAAAACAATTATTTCGATAATTTTTCTCAAAAATCAGTCAAACTCCCAACTTAAAAAAAAATAGTTTTAATTGTTTACTAAACTAAAATTGTTAAATTTTATCAAAAATTGCAATTTTTTGGTACTTTTAGCACATTTTTTAAATAGAAACGTAATTATTGTGCAAAATTATGTTTAGAACAAGCCAAAAATTTAACAAATTAGGCCGAAAATGATGTTATTTAGGTCTTTTTTGGTTTTTCTTATTTAATAAAAAATAAGCCAAAAAAACAAAAAATGTGGTCGAAAACCACTTAACTTTTACAGCTCAAATATGGTGGATTTGATTTTTGTGAGGTGGCAACACTTGTTTGAATTTGACAGTAAATGTCACCAACTAAATTCAAAATTAAAATTAGTAAAATTGCGCAATCGTCAAGGAAACAACACAATTTTTTGTATTTTTTCAATGTGAAAATCAATTATTTCGACAAATTTTTTCCAAAAATCACTCGAAAAATCACCAAAATAATTATTTCATTTTTTTTTCAAAAAACATCGTTAAATTAGGTTAAAATTACAGTTTTGCCTTTTTTGGAGTGTTTTTAACATATGTTGCGCCTATACAAGTACCTAGACAATTTTTTCGTAAAATTTTGTTAGAAATAAACCAAAAATTCACTAAATTAGACCAAAAATAGTATTTTGCGTATTTAAAAATTACTTAATTTAGCTTTTTTAACACACTTTCAAGCAAATCCAAAAAAGAAAAAGGAAAAGTAACTAGAAAAATCTTTTGTCAACACTGAATTTTGTTAGCAATGTCAAATTTTTAATGAAATTTTTGATCAAAGTAGTATTTGACTTGGTATTTAAATTGGCTGTCAAATTCAAACGTCAATCTTTTATAGTCAACTGTCATTCACCTCCGACGGGCTGCTCCTGGCCTGGCCGTCAAGTCACACATCAAGGATCAACAATAATTCAGTGTTGCCAACTAAATTTAATTTAAAAAAATGACAAAAAATTACTTTTGAACGAGAAACAATTTTTAAATTTTTGCAACAAGTAAGTGTTTTGTGGCGAAATTAAAAACCTGAAAAAAACATCTTGTGCCCCACCAAGAAAGTAGACATCGAAAATGAAGCACAAAAATTGTTAAAGTTATGCGACTAACAATACAGCCTAGTTTAATGTGTTGCATGTTTTTAGCAATTTTTGAGTATTTTTAGCTGAAAACGGAATTATTTTACAAAATTTTGTTAAAAGCAAGCTAAATTCCAAAAAATCACTATAAAAATGATCAAAAAGTATTAAATTTCCTCGAATTTGTTATTATGTAATTTGTTTTGCTTTTTTTGGTATTCTGATAAAAATTGTGGTTTTTTATTCACAAAAGCACTTTTTTATTGTTTTATTGACGTAAATGTTGTGTTTAATCGTGTTTGAAACAAATAAATAAAACGGCTATAATTTTTTTTATGGCTGTTGTATAATGTGTTGCCTGGATTTAGGCGCCATTGCCCATTTCCTGATTAGTCAATGTAATTTCTTAAATTACATCATATCCCTTGATAATTAATTAAACCCAAACCCATGTCCCTTCTTTTGTAACCATTTCAGTTACGACACATCTTTCCCTTCATTCACTACACAAAAAAGTAAGTCGAGAAAGTTAAAAATTGAATTTGTGTAAATAGAGGTTAGGATTAAAACTTGTTTTTTTAAATTCTTGGAATTTATGTTTTTATTTTTTGAGATAAGATAAGAAAAACTTTCAAGAATCACGGTATCATTCTTCACAAAAATGTCAACACAAAATATCATTGGGTAGAATTATTGCAACATTTTCCAATAAAAAAATTTCTTTTTAGAATGGAAGAAGAGGAGTCAGGGGAATGCAACAATGACCTGTCTTTGACCAGGCCGAGTCTAGGAGGCTCTGAATATGACGATGAGTTGGGAATCCCTGAATCCCTCAGTATTGTCGATGTGGGGGATGGCCCCGTTCTCATAGAACACTCAGATGAGGAAATTGATGGTAAATTGACTGTTTTTCTTCATTTTATAAAATTCAAATTTTCAAGATGATGTTTTCGACGGTTTGCCCTTCTCTTCAATTCACAAACCACCAATCAAATTCAAGTCTTTTCGAAGAAACGTCTTCATCCCCTCCTTGGATATTTCAGTAACAATCAAAGATTATGAACGAAATTTAACAACACATATGCTCAACCCCAACTTGTAAGTGTTGCCAGCTCGAAGCAATTAAATTCACCAGATCTGAGATAAAAAGTCACCAGATTACAAGATTATTGTATGATTTTAATTTTTTTAATACTGTCGAAGGAAGACAAAAATAGTCTAATAATCTAATTCCATAATTTTTTGGCTAGTTGCGAAATATTTGGTGACAAAAAATCTATTGGCAACACTAAATTAGTGGTAATCCTGCTGATTTGTTATATTAGAATGTTTCCGGTGACAATTGCCTATAAAAGTTTGACGTTTGAATTTGAAAGTCAAGGTTGCCAAATTAAAAATTAAATTTGACACCAAATTATTTTCAGTCACCCGATATTTACTTGAAAAACATGCTAAAACACTTGATAAAGGCAAAAATAATGACTTGATTTGATGTTTTTTTTTGGTTTGTTTTAGCAAAATCTTGCAATTAACACCATTTTCGACCATATTTTGTATTTTTTGTCCTATTTTTTTGACAAAATTTTACTCAAAAAGAGCTAAATACAATGAAACAAACGAAATAACATCAATTTAGATTTATTTTTGTTGTGTTTAAACATGTTTTCACAATATCCTGTAAAATAAATGAGTCTCTGGTTCAAAAACGAACTAAATCGAATGAAACAAACTAAAATGATATCAATTTCAATCTAATTTGGTAATTTTTCATTCAGTTTTAGCAAAAATTTGAATGTATCTTAAAAACGTGCTGAAACACTCTAAAAATACAAAAATAACACTAGTTTTGGCCTAATTTGATAAATTTTTGGTTTGTTTTTAACGAAATTTTGAAAAATAATTCTGTTTCAAGCTAAAAACATACTAAAACCCTCAGAAATGGACAAAATAATGTACCTTTTGACCTATTTTAGCGATTTTTTTACCTTGTTGAGTGAAATATCATTTATCATCTCTCGATTTTTCAACTTGTTTTTAGGAAAATTTTATTTGAGTTTCTACATGGCTAAAAAACGTGCAAAATGCTCAAAAAAATATAAAAAAATAGTGTCATCAATTTTGACTGAATTTACTAAATCAATAATTAAAAAATCAAAGTAAAAAAGATAATTTTACTAACATTTTGGCGAATATTCGATTTAAAAAAAATACATTTCTAAGAAATTATCAGATGAAGGCAAAATAATGACTTAATTTCATGTTTTTTGGTTTATTTTAGCAAAATCTTGCAATTAACACCATTTTTGAGTATATTTTGTATTTTTCGTCCTATTTTTTTGACAAAATTTCACTCAAAAAGAGCTAAATCGAATGAAACAAACGAAATAACATCAATTTAGATTTATTTTTGTTGTGTTTAAACATGTTTTGACAATATTCTGCAAAATAAATGAGTCTTTGGTTCAAAAAACGATAAAATGATATCAATTTCAATCTAATTTGGTAATTTTTCAGTCAGTTTTAGCCAAAATTTGAATGTATTTTAAAACGTGATGAAACACTCTAAAAATGTAAAAATAACACTAGTTTTGGCCTAATTTGATAAATTTTCGGCTTGTTTGTAACGAAATAAAATAATTCTAAAAACATACTAAAACCTCAGAAATGGCCAAAATAATGTACTTTTTTTTACCCATTTTAGCGATTTTTTATCTTGTTGAGTGAAATATCATTTAGAAAAACAAAACTATCTCTCGATTTTTCAACTTGTTTTTGAGAAAATTTAGCTCAAAAAATACAAATAATAAAAATTTCATCAGAAATTAAAATTTTTACAAAAGTTTTCCCCAAATCATTAAGCTAGTAAAAAATCACCAGATCTGGTGAAATTTCAGCAGACCTGGCAACACTGATCGCTTTTCAATGTTGCCAACTTGCAGATACACCATTTCCCTAGTCCATGGCACGTTCAACTGGCAAATCAAAAAGCGCTACAAACAAATACAACATTTACACCAACAATTGATTTTATTTAGGGCTGGTTTGAATATCCCCTTTCCGAGTAAAACCCACAAAAGGAAAAGAAAGAGTTTTAAGATGAATGTGCCTGAAGCGGGACGAGGGAAACGAAAAGCGGCGCTTCCAAGGCAAATTTTCCTGGTTTTTTTGCCTTTTAACCTAATTTTTTTTTATAGATTCCCGAAAAAACCCGAGATTTTGGTCCCGTATGAAAAACTCGGCGATAGAATCAAGCAACTTGAAAACTACCTCAATAATTTGCTCTCTATTAATATTTATCGCAATCATCCTGCCACTGTATTTTTTTTTATTTGTTTATTTATTTTTTGTAAAACTAGATTTTTAGATTGAATTTTTGGAGGTTTCGCATTTATCGTTTGTTCAAGGCCTCGGAATTAAGGGTAAGGAAGGAGTGGTTAAAAAACGGACCGGAAGCACGCAACCGGGACAAGCGGGGTGCAACTGTTGTGGCCTCATTAGGTGCATGTTTTGCATAAGGTAATTAAATTAAAAAAATTGATCGGTTTTTTATTTTATTAAGTGGCCTGTGACTTTGAAATACAGTTGGTGAAACTGAGTGTCAAATTCAAACCAGTGTTGCCACCTCATAAGAGTCAAATTCAGCAGATCCATAAAAACTGGTGGTTTCAAAGAAACTCGTGTTAAATAAATGAATATCTGCTGCAAAAAAGAACTAATTGGAGCGAAACAAATTAAAATAATATCAATTTTGATGTAATTTGGTAATTTTTCAGCCGTTTTATAACGAAATATTTTTTTTCAAAATTTAAAAATTGTTTCAAAAATTTTGGGGCTACTTCAGTGAATTTTTGGCTTGTTTTTAACAAAATAATTGTGTTTCCAAGTGAAAAATGTGCTCAAACATTCGGAAAAGAAAAAAATAATGTAATTGGTAACCTAATTTTTTTTTAATGTGTCGAAATAATTGATTTTCTGACTGAAAAATTACAAAAAGTTGTGTTGTTTTCTTGACGATTTTTTTTAAATTTTCAAATGGCCTGTAACTTTGAAATTCAGTTAGTGACATTGACTGTCAAATTCAAATCAGTGTTGCCACCTCACAAAAATCAAATGCACCAGATGGAAAAAAAAATTGAACAAATTTTGCTCAATATTTTTTTATCTTAAAAAGGCAAAAATAAAACCATTTTCGGCCTAAGTTAGCAAATTTTTTACTTCTTTTTGACAAAATTTTGCAAAATAACTAAGTTTCTGGTTGACAAAAGTAGTAAAAATACCAAAAAACCGCAAAAATATTTTAATTTTTGATCCAGTTCAGCGATTTTTTGACTCTTTAGTAAAATTTCGTAAAAAAGAGAACAATAAAAACAATTTCTTAATTAGTTTGGTGATTGTTTGGCTTATTTTTGAGAAAATTTGTCGAAATAATTGCTTTTTTGACTGAAAAATGTGCAAGAAGCTTGAAAAAGGCAAAAATTATATAATTTCCACAAAAACTTCAGATTTTAGTTGAAAAACGTGCTTTAAGCTTGAAAAAGGTAAAAATAACAATAATTTTCACCAAATTTTGTGATTTTTCGACTTATATTTTTGACTAAATTTTGCTCAAAAATGAGATAAATCAAGTGAAACCAGCGGAATATCATTAATTTTGATTTACTTTGTGATTTTTAAGGGCGTTATAAGAAAATTTTGCAAAAAGAGTGTCTGCTTAAAAAAAATCAAGCAAAACAAACTAAAATAATGTCAATTTCGATGTAATTTGATAATTTTAACGAAATTTTTAAAAAAGTAGACAAGAAACACTCGAAAAGGGCAAAAATATCATCAATTTTTGATATTTTTGGCTTTAGATTTTTGACTAAATTTTGCTCACAAATCAGTTAAATCAAGTGAAGTAAACAACGAAATAACATAAATTTCGATGATTTTTAGAACTTTTGTAAAATAAATGAATATTTGCTTCAAAAAAGAACTAATTCGAGCGAAACAAACTAGAATAATATCAATTTCGAGGTAATTTTCTGTGTTTTTCGACTAATTTTTGACAAAATTTTGGTCAAAAATCAGTTAAACTGAGTGAATCAAACGAAATAACATAAACTTCGATGATTTTTGGTAATTTTCCCAAAATAAATAAGTTTCTGCTTCAAAAAAGAACTAATTCGAGCAAAACAAACTAGAATAATATAAATTTAAATGTCATTTGGTATTTCTTCAGCCAAAAAATTTAATTAAACACTCAAAAAAGGCAAAAATAACAAAATTTTTGGCGTAATTAGTAAATTTTGATTTATTTTTAACAAAATTCTGCGAAATAATTGTTTCTAGCTGAAAAATGTGCTAAAAACACCCAAAAATGACACAAAAATTCTAATTTTTGACAAAATCTAACGGTTTTTTGATTTTGTTTCACTGAATTTGGTGATTTTTTACAATATTTTTGAGACAATTTGTCGAAATAATTGATTTTCTGACTAAAAAATACGAGAAATTGTGTTATTTGTTCCTTGGCGAAATGTGCTAAAAATGGCCAAAATATAGTATATATAGTATAATATAGCGATTTTTTGATTGAAATAAGACCATTTTATATTGAATTTAGTGATTTTTTGACATATTTTTTAGAAAATTTGTGGAAATAATTGATTTACCTTACTGAAAAAGGTACAAAAGTCTTGAAAAAGATAAAAATGATAAAAATTTAGCAAAAACTTCAAATTTTGGTTCAAAAAAACGTGCTTCAAAGGTTGAAAAAGGTAAAAATAAAAATATTAAAATAATAAAAAAAATATTTTGACCATATTTTGAGTTTTTCCACTTATTTTTGACTAAAAATCTGTTAAATCTGGTGAAAAATAAATGAAACAACATAAATTTCGATGATTTTTGGAAATTTTACAAAATAAATAAGTTTCTGCTCCAAAAAAAAAAAACTAATTCGAGCAAAACAAACTAGAATAATATAAATTTTATTGTTATTTGGTAATTTTTCAGCCAGTTTTATAACGAAATTTGTCGAAAAAAATATTTTATTATCAAAAAATGTATTTAAACACTCAAAAAAAAACACCATTTTTGGACTAACTTAGTGAATTGTGGTTTATTTTTAACAAAATTCGACATAATAATTATGTTTCTAGCTGAAAAGTGTTCTTAAAATTGCAAAAATATTTCTTAAAGAATAAGACTATTTTTACTGAATTTGGTGATTTTTTGACTTATTTTATTTTTGCGAAATAATTGTTTCTAGCTGAAAAATGTGCTAAAAACACCAAAAGTGACAAAAATATTTTAATTTTTGACCCAATTTAACAGTTTTTAGATTTTGTTTCACTGAACAAACACACTATAGTGATTTTTTTGACTTATTTTTGAGACAATTTGTCGAAATAATTGATTTTTTCAACTGAAAAATGTGCAAGAAGCTTGAAAAAGGCAGACATGATATAGTTTCCAGAAAAACTTCAGATTTTAATTAAAAAAAAATGCGCTTCAAGTTTGATAAAGGCAAAAATAACAATGTTTTTGGCCAAATTTTGTTTTTTTTTTTGGCTTATTTTTGAGTAAATCTTGCTTCAAGTGCTTCAAATTTGGAAAAAGTGCAAATAACAATGTTTTTGGCCAAATTTTGTATTTTTCGGCTTATTTTTGACTAAATCTTGCTCAAAAATGAGATAAATCAAGTGAATCAAACGAAATATCATCAATTTTGATATATTTTTGAGATTTTTAAGGACGTTTTAAGAAAATTTTGCTCCCTGCTTCAAAAAAAAAAAAAAAAATCAAGCAAAATAAACTAAAATAATGTCAATTTCGATGTAATTTAGTAAGTTTTCATTGTTTTAACGAAATTTGTAAAGAAGTAGACAAAAGCGTGCTGAAATGTTGCCAACCTAAATGCAGTGTTGCCAATAAGAAAAAGAAAAATGTTTGGTTATGTAAATTACCTGTGTTTGGCATCGTCCCAGCGGCCGTAGCACAAGTCAATGCCGCCAACAAAAGCATAAGTTTGGTCCACAACGACCATTTTTTCATGATGGGCCCAGAGAAATCAATTATTTCGACAAATTGTCTCAAAAATAAGTCAATTCAGTGAAACAAAATCAAAAAACTGTTAAATTGGGTCGAAAATTGAAATATTTTCGTCATTTTTTGGGTGTTTTTAGCACATTTTTAGCTAGAAACAATTTTTTCGTAGAATTTTGTTAAAAACAAATCAAAATTCACTAAATTAGGCTAAAAATGGTGTTATTTCTGCCTTTTTTGAGTGTTTGAGTAATTTTCTTAGATAACAAAATTTTTTGTACAAATTTGAAGCAAAAACTCATTTATTTGCAAAAATTCCAAAAATCATTGAAATTTATGTTGTTTCACTCGATTTGACTGGTTTTTGAGCAAAATTTCGTCAAAAATAAGTCAAAAAAAAAACACAAAATTTGGTCAAACATTTTTACCTTTTTCAAGCTTGAAGAACGTTTTTTCAATCTGAAGTTTTTGTGAAAATTATATCATTTTTGGCTTTTTTTCAAAAATAAGTCAAACAATCACCAAATTATTAAAAAAATTATTTTAATTGTCTTCTTTTTTACGAAATTTTTCTAAACAGAGTTAAAAAAATCGCTAAATTGGGCTAAATAACAACAAAATTCATATTATTCTAGTTTGTTTTGCTCGAATTAGTTCTTTTTTGAAACAGAAACTTATTTAKTTTGCAAAAATTCCAAAAATCATCGAAATTTATGTTGTTTCATTTATTTTTCACCAGATTTAACAGATTTTTGACCAAAATTTAGTCAAAAATAAGTGGAGAAAGTCAAAATATTTTTATTTTTACCTTTTTCAACCTTTGAAGCACGTTTTTTTTAACCAAAATTTGAAGTTTTTGCAAAAATTTTATCTTTTTTTTTCAAGATTGTTGTACTTTTTTCAGTAAGGTTCATCAATTATTTCTACACAATTATTCAGTAATTCAGTATTACCAACAGTTTTGTCACTTTCTAATAAAATTGTAGATGTCAGCACTTGTGCAACGACATTCTATGCGCGCGCTGGAACGAGCGTTGGTTTTTCATCAAGGACACCTGTTTCGGCTACATAAACCCTGAAGATGGCATGGTAAAATGCGTGATTTTATTCGACCAAGGTTTCGAGGTCGCTTCCGGTTTGTACTCAATCGGTTTACAAACCGGTTTCCAAATCCAAACATTGAGTCGCCAAATCGCATTTAAATGTTGGACGAGGCGAAAAGGTCGCGAATGGATTGAAACCCTCAAAGAGGTGGCTTCAGGGACAGGTTTGTAACCGAACCACCTCAAAAAAAAAAACCGGTTATAACCGCGTTTCCAGCCCGCGACTTCACCCAAGCCAACCAACACCGATCCTTCGCACCCTTAAGGACCACAATCGCGGCGTGTTGGTTCATAGATGGCGCTAGTTATATGTCAGCCGTGGCCGACGCGATTGAGAATGCCAAAGAAGAGGTTTTTATCACTGATTGGTGGTTGAGTCCTGAGATTTATATGAAACGGCCAGCGTTGAGTGGGGATTATTGGAGGTTAGATAAATTATTGCAGAGGAAAGCTGCGAGTGGTGTACGAATTTTCGTGCTACTTTACAAAGAAGTGGAGTTGGCGTTGGGTTTGAACAGTTATTACAGTAAACAAACGCTAGCGGAATTGTCGGAAAATATCAAGGTTTTGCGCCACCCGGATCATGCCCGTGTGGGGGTGTTTCTCTGGGCCCATCATGAAAAAATGGTTGTTGTGGACCAAACTTATGCTTTTGTTGGCGGCATTGACTTGTGCTACGGCCGCTGGGACGATGCCAAACACAGGTAATTTACATAAACAAACATTTTTCTTTTTCTTATTGGCAACATTGTATCTAGGTTGGCAACTTTGACTGTCAAATTCAAACGTCACACGTTTATAAGTCAACTGTCATTT